CTTAATTCTATATGAATTTATTTACATAATTAAAGTGCATGTTCCGGTTGTTTCGATAATTTAAATTTATAAAAAAACAAAAAAAAAACGGTGCTTAATTATTTTTGGTTTTGATATTATTTTGACGTACGGATGTTATATAGTAAAAACCTATTACTGATCAAAGATAATTGGATACACTAATACTGAATTTATGTCATTGTGCTCTGAAATGGCCAAAATATCAATGGGATATCAAATTCTTTATAAAAATTTAATTATTATTCAAATTTAATTTGACGATACTCACTTTATCTCTCAAAAATTTTTATACTATCATAATTCTTCTAGATACACAACAGCATTCGCGCTATATAAGTCTTCCGATTACAAGACAAAGTCTCGAAATTATAAATAATAGTCTTTCTTCTGCTGAAAATGTGTTCAAAGTAAGGATGACAAATATTTGTTAAAAACAGGCGATCATTATAATCTGTTTATTTTAGTGAAAAGGTGTTTAAAACTGTCAATTTTTTTTTAATTATCTTTAGTCTGAAGACTTAGAAAATATAAAAACTATATTAAACGATGTTAATAAATTGGCGTATCCTAATATATCAGATTCTGAAAAATCTTTAACCGAAAATACAAATATTAGATTTTTATCATTTATCGGAGATTCTATGACTTTTGAAAACCTTGGAAACCATTTTAGAAAATTATCTATTGATCCTAGTAATTGTGAAGAGAGCGCTGAGGTACGTAATATTATTAATTTTCAAAGAATACTAGTTTAAAATCTTCAGTAGCGAAAAATTTCTTTCAAATACATTAAGGTCTGCAAAAGAAATTCTTTTACTACTAATTGCTTTGAACTAGTATACATTTGTATTTGTTGCGCGTTGTACGTCAAATCAAATTTAAATGCTGAGGGTAGGGATAAGTAAAGATACGAATCAATTGAGTCAGCTATAATTGGGACGTCAATTAATTACGATTGACTGTATTTACAACGATAATAAAACCCGATATTAGAGATGAGATCCGGATATCCGCAAAATTAATTGAAATTATAAAAAAATAAATCGGGATATCCGTTAAATTTAAATATGCAGCGGATAGACGGATTCCGATTATGTAATATATGGAGGGGAGTCAATAAAAATGAGGCAAATAAAATATCTCAACTATTTAATCAAATTTAATAAATTTACTTATTTTAATTCTGCAATTATATCGAAGAAAAATTTACCCCATTTTTATTAACTCCCCATATAAAGAATTTCACCTAACATGAGGAATTTGGCGGTTTTCAAACTTTTGTGAATTTTGCAAACTGCAATAGGATTTCGATCTTTCAAGCTTATTCTTTTTTATATATTAGACTCAATCCTGAGTCGAAACACGTAAGTAAATTAATTATGTATCATATACGTCGCCGTTCAAAGCTGAATCCGGTAAATAATAAATAACTTGAAAGCTCGAAGTCAAGGTTTCTCTTGGCGTCACCCATATGAAAAATATAACTTTGATTGCTTAAAGATAATAGATTTATCTTTTATTAATCGGCTAATCACTCAATTATCGATTCGTATTACTAAAGATAGGTATCTTCATATCGATATGGAAATCAGATAATCAAGTGATTTTTTGTAATATTAATTTGACGCACAACTTATTTCGAAAAGTAATATTGTAATGAGTTTAATAGAAAATGCGAATCCATTAGTGAAAAAAATTATATTGATGATTTAATTTTGATATTTACACCTTATAACTACCTTAATTTTTGGTTATATTTATTTAATAAACAGATTAATAGTTTAGCAAATGAGATAAAAACTACGGTTGAAAAACTAAAAAAAGAAATCGAAAACTGGAAATCCAAAAATATTGGCTGGGGAAGAATTCGAGGAAGAATCACAAAAGCTATATTATTTGCCAAATTTATTTCTAGAGAGATTACTGATGAACGACTTCTGGAGACAAATACAATTAGAGGAAGTAAACAACATATTATTCAAAACATTTATCAACGGTCTGCCAATAATTATGTCAAAGTTGCGGAAAAACCAGTTGGCCAATTTAGTAATGAACTTTTAAGAAATTTAAGAAAAGAAATTTATTTTATGCGAAAACTTCGCGAATGCTCAAATATTCTTGAATTGTAAGTTTATATTTATCTACATCATATTTATGTTTAAATAATAACCGGCTTTTTTTTTCAAAGCTACGGGTATCGTCGTCGACCCACAGGTCTCACCGTAATTTTACAATGGGCAGATTTCAACTTAGAAACTTACCTTAAAGAGCATAAACTTAATTTAAGTGAAAAAATATTAATTGCGCGTGGAATTGCTAATGCATTGAATTATTGCCATGAGAAAAATATTTTGCATTACGATATTAGAACGTTAGTATAATTATGCAATTATAAACATAATGATTATGTATTATTAATAAAATTCTTTAAATTTACAATTAGTTCGAATATATTATTGGATGAACATCTACAACCTAAACTATATAATTTTCTATATAATTTTCCAACTACTAAAAGACCTTCACCTTTGCCAATAGAGATTTTAAGGTAATTGACTATTATTTAGCATATACGTCTCGTCTTATTCTTTTTTTTGATTTTTTTTTAAAATTAGGTGGAGTTCACCGGAAATAATTCGCGGTGAAGAGTACACTAAAAAAAGTGAAGTATACAGGTAATTTTTAAATAATGAGAAAATTTATTATTTACACATAGTATTTATACACGGGTATTAATTACAAATTCGCATAATTGACAAAAATTAACTCAGTAAGGTTTAGCTTTAAGATTAGAAATAGTTTGGGGTTATACTAAAATTTTGCAAGGAATATTTTTTGTTATAACCCTAAAAGCTGTTTTATAGTCGGGATTTTGAGATATCAACATACCCGTGTACATACACATAGAAATTGCCTTATAATAATTATATCTATATTAATAGTTTTGCATTAGTTATGTGGGCGATTGGATCTCAAAAATTACCCTTTACCAACTTAAGAGAGGAAGAAATAAAAGACAATATACTTAAGGGAGAATACCTAACTTTTTCATCCAAGCACGATGAGATATTAAGCGAATATCAGAAAATTTTTACAAAATCATGGCACCAAGATCCATCTCAACGTGATAGTATGAAGACAATCCTTGAATACTTGAATCGAATAGAAATTGTAATTTTTTTGTCTGAATGGGATAATGATGGCAGTTTTCATAATATCACAAAACAAATGAATTTAGGACATGGTATTAAAAATCACGAAAAAAAGAAACATAAAAATGCGTGGGAAGCGTTTGATAATTATCATAAGCATAAACCCGACGATCCTCATGCAAATTTTTGGGTGGGACTTTATCATCTTAAAGGATATCATGTTGATAAAGATGTTCAAAAGGGAATGGAATTACTCAAAAAAGCATCTGAGTCACAACATCCAGAAGCACAATATTTGTATGCGTTAACATTGCTAGGTAGTCCTACGGAGTTTGAGAAAGACAGTTATGCGATCGCAATGAAATATTTAAGAAAATTGGCATTACAAAATGATTATTTGGCATTAAATATGTTAGGAAAAATATTACATACTGGGATTTATGGTCAAAGGGCGAAACCTCTTATAGGAGAAACATTGATTAATAAAGCTAATGATATAAAAATGAAATGTACAAAAAAAGATTGTTAGATTCAACACACATTTAACACTGTTCTAACATTAGAAGAAAAAAAAGTATTATTCTTTGTTCTGGTAAATTGTAGAAATGTATTTTGTATGTAATTAAATACATATTAAGTAAATTTATCATAAATAAAAAACTCGACTGAATTCAAACGTCTAGAATTTAATTGTGTTTGGATTTAGAATTTTCTTTTCTCCGATAACGAATAAATAGTCGTACCGTAGTGTACTGGCTAAAAGACCCGGGGTCTAATATAAAATACCTGGAAAAAAAATTACTGTCACTGGACCAAAATTTTTGAATTTTACCATATATTATACCCTGGTATCAACGGGGTACTCAAAAAGGGGTCTTTTAGTTAGTGCACTACGCTAAACCAACTATACAAACTAGTTGCATGAAATCGTTTACAAAATTTACATAAACGGTTGTTAAAACTAGTTAAAAATCGACCAAAATTCTAATTAATTACATTACAATTATAATTTTACGACAGACTTGGCAAACCAACTATTCAGACGGTTTTGATTCAAACGATAATTTTGAGGTATTTGTTGGTTTTAAGAATGAAATCGCGTGCTTTCTTTGTGAAAAGTTCAAATTCGGAATCATACGATTTTTGATAATGGAAACCTTATCTGGGTTAAAAAAAATCATTAAATATAGTTAATAGATAAATTAAAATAATGTAAATAAATAATTGAAACAACATTGACGGATGTTATAGTAGTATAATTAAAAGATCCTTGATTTTGATTCAACATAGTATTAGCGTTAGTTTTTATTACAAATTCATTTAATGTTTTTACGATATTTTTTCCTTTCTAAACTGATCAACGTGGCGAAGCCATTTGGATATGTGTTCTGTATTTGTAACATAGGAAAGGTTTATAAATTGTAGCGCTTCAGAATCGTAAGTTCTATTCGACATATCAAGGAGTTACTTTAAAATTACTGCGCGAAGACAAATCATATTTACAATAAATCAGTAATTACGTCATCTATCGGCTAAAACTTTATTTTTACACTAAACGATTAATATATTTTATTTTACTTTTAATTAATTGCACCCGGGTACGCACGGGTTGTTACATCAGACTAGAGTAGCGATCCGGATAACTATATCCGGATTTGACGCAGATATATTTAAACAGATATATCCGATCCGATATTAGA